TTAGTTTCACTGGTATGCAGGACCAAAAGGGTATCTCAAATGGAAAACCATTTTTTAGTGTTTAAGTTGTTATCTATAATAGAGCAGTTAAGGGGAACTATAGTATTCGGTCTATGTGATTCTAGGACAATAGGCACTCAACAACTATGAGAAAGCAGGTCAGAGAGCCAGCTGACCTAATGATTAAATGTGAGTGTGTCGTAAGCTTGGTTTATTTTCATTTCTTTCCCTGCCTTCTTTCCTGATTAATTTTAAAAGGTTTATAAGGACAGTTTCAAATATGTTCTATTGACCCAGGAGCATAATAAACAAAAGGAGATGGGGCCAAAGTCACATCTCAGTTTAAATATGATAAGCTCTGTCTCTTGTTATCATAAATTATTGAAAAGCAGCAGAGAGTGCCTTCATATTTTTTAAATGCTAAAGTTTTAGATTGATCTCACAGGAATGTTCCGTCTAACAGAGCGCATGATGATTATGAAGCCAGTAAAACATGTTCTGGGACATTGCAATTGCTCTTTAATCTACTTGATGGGTTTGGTATAGGAAACTGAATTTTTAAAACCTAAACTATACATTAACCTACTAGACTTTAGATAAGCCATCTGCTGATATAAATATTGTGTAGGTTCTCCTGTTAGCCACAAAGCTATATATCTTTTGGCTTTAGCTTTCTCCTTGTAGACTACTTGAAATAAAATATTGGTAGATTCAAATTAAAACATAACATCAAGACTTGTTCCTTCAAGAATTTGGATTTGTCTGAAGACAATGAAAAGCCATGAAAGGGTTTTTTTTTTTTTTTTTTTAAGACATAGTCTCACTCTGTCACCTAGGCTGGAGTGCAGTGATATGATCCCAGCTCAAGTGATGACACTTGGGTTCAAGCGATTCTCATGTGTCAGCCTCCCAAGTACCTGGAATTACAGGCGTGTGCCACAATTCCCAACTAATTTTTTCGTGTTGTTAGTAGAGACGGGGTTGTGTCATGTTGGCCAGGTTGGTCTCAAACTCCTCACCTAAAGTGATTCACCTGCTTTGGCCTCCCAAAGTGCTGGGATTACAGGCATAAGCCACCATGTCTGGCCCATGGAAGGGTTTTTTAAGCAGAGTAGAAATATAATCAGAGTTGTGATTTATTTATGTATTTATTTATTTTTGAGACAGGGCCTCACTCAGTCATCTAAGCTGGGGTGCAGTGGCATGATCACGGTTCACTGCAGCCTCAGCCTTCCCAGGCTCAGGTGATCCTCCCACCTCGACCTCCCGAGTAGCTGGGATCATAGGTGTGCGACACCACACCTAGCTAATTTTTGCATTTTGTGTAGAGACGATGTTTCACCATGTTGGCCAGGCTGATCTTGAAGTCCTGGGCTCAAGTGATCCTCCCACCTTGGCCTCCCACAGTCCTGGGATTATAGGAGTGAGACACTGCCCTTGGCTTCAGAGTTATGTTTTTTTTTTTTTTTTTTTTTTGAGACAGAGTCTTACACTGTCGCCGAAGCTGGAGTACAGTGGCATGATCTTGGCTCACTGCAACCTCTGCCTCCTGGGTTCAAGGGATTCTCCTGCCCCAGCCTTCTGAGTGGCTGAGATTACTGGCACCCACCACCATGCCCGGCTAATTTAGAGTTACATATTATAAATAAACTCTGGAGCCCTGTAGAGGGCAAATAGGAGGGGAGAGAGCAACTAGAGGTGGAGCAATCCTAGCAGACTATTGCCAGAATCCAGGTGAGAAATACTTATGGCCTGAACTAAGGCAGTAAAATGGAGATGGAAGGGATGGGATGGACGTAATGACTTAAGGAGGTAGAATTAATATTGATTGGACATGGGGGATGAGGAAGGGGTCTAGGATGATTCCCAGGTTTCAGACTTGGGCAACTGGATGGATGGGAGTTGTCTGGCATCTATTAGGCATTTAGTAAATTTGTTGAGTGTTTGTTGAATTCATGTGCAGATAGGAAATAACATGAAAATAAGGAGGAGGACCAGATTACAGTGAATCATCATTATTTTAGTTTTGAATGTGTTGAGTTTTAGGTACTACTGTGATTATCCCTAAGTACGATTTTACTATGGGGTGTATTGTGACTCCTTACATTTAATATAAAATGAAAAATGAGCAAAGGATTTGAGTAGGCATTTCACCAAAGAAGACAAACAGATAGCCAATAAGCACATGAAAGGATTCTCAACATCATTAGTCATTAGGGAAATGCAAATCAAAAACAATAAGGCTGGGTGCAGTGCCTCACACTTGTAATCCCAGCACTTTGGGAGGCCGAGGCAGGCAGATCACGAGGTCAGGAGTGTGAGACCAGCCTGTCCAATATGCTGAAACCCTGTTTCTACTAAAAAATACAAAAATTAGCCAGGTGTGGTGGTGCATACCTGTAGTCCCAACTATTCGGGAGGTTGGGGCAGGAGAATCGTTTGAACCTGGGAGGCGGAGGTTGCAGTGAGCCGAGACGGTGCCACTGCACTCCAGCCTGGGCAACAGAGTGAGACTCAATCTCAAAAAAACCAAATCAAACCAAATCAAACAAAAAACTACAATGTAGGCCGGGCGCGGTGGCTCAAGCCTGTAATCCCAGCACTTTGGGAGGCCGAGGTGGGTGGATCACGAGGTCAAGAGATCGAGACCATCCTGGTCAACATGGTGAAACCCTGTCTCTACTAAAAATACAAAAAATTAGCTGGGCATGGTGGTGCGTGCCTGTAATCCCAGCTACTCAGGAGGCTGAGGCAGGAGAATTGCCTGAACCCAGGAGGCGGAGGTTGCGGTGAGCCGAGATCGCGCCATTGCACTCCAGCCTGGGTAACATGAGTGAAACTCCGTCTCAATAAAAAAAAAAAAAAGCTACAATGTGATATCAATCCATATCAAGTAGGATAGCTAAAATTTGAAAAGATAATATGGCCAGGCGCAATTGCTCACTCCTGTAATCCCAGCACTTTGGGAGGCTGAGGTGGGTGGATCACTTGGGGTCAGGAGTTCGAGACCAGCCTGGTCAACATGGAGAAATCTTGTGTCTTAAAATGCAAAAATTACCCAGGCATGGTGGTGCACGCCTGTAATATCAGCTACTCAGGAGACTGAGGCAGGAGAATCACTTGAACCCAGGAGGCAGAGGTTGCAGTGAGCCAAGATTGTGCCACTGCCCTCCAGCCTGGGCAGAAGAGCGAGACTCCTTTTCAAAAATAAAATAAAATAAAATTTGAAAAAAGATAACAAATATTGGTGAGCATGTGGAGGGAGAATTTGGAACCCTCATGTGAAGCTGGTGAGGTAGTAAAATGGTGCAGCCTCTTTGGAAAACAGTTGGACACTTCCTCAAAATGTTAACAATAGGGTTATCATTTGACCCAGCAATTTCACTTCTAGGGTATATATCCAAGAGAATTGAAGGCATATGTCCACACAAAAAATCTGTATGTAAATATTCAGTATTATATTATACATAATAACACAAAAAACCAGAAACTACCTAAATGTTTATCAACTGATGAATACATAAACAAAGTGTGGAATATCCACACAAGGGAATATGATTCAGACATTAAAGTACTGACATATGATACGACATAGATGAACCTTGCAAACATTATGCTAAACAAAAGAAGCCAGTCACAAAGGCCACATATTGTGTGATTCCATTTATATGAAATGTCCATAATAGGCAAATCCATAAACATGGAAATTAGATTATTGGTTGCCTGGCGTGGGGTGGGGGAGGAAAGAATGGGAGGTGACTGCTAAGGAGTATGGGGTTCTTTTGGGGTAACAAAAGTGTTCTGAAAGTAGATAGTGATGATTGTTGTACCACCCTGTGAATATACTAAAACCCACTGAATTGTACACTTCAAAAGAGTGAATTGAATGATATGTGAATTGTGCCTCAATAAAGTTGTCATTTTGGCTGGGTATGGTGGCTCATGCCTGTAATCCCAGCACTTTGGGAGGCTGAGGTGGGTGGATCAGGAGATCGAGACCATCCTGGCCAACGTGGTGAAACCCCATTTCTACTAAAAATACAAAAATTAGCTGGGTATGGTGGCATGTGTGTGTAGTCCCAGATATTCAGGAGGCTGAGCCAGGAGAATTGCTTGAACCCAGGAGACAGAGTTTGCAGTGAGCTGAGATCACACCACTGCACTCCAGCGTGGCAACATAGCTACATTCCATCTAAAAAAAAAGAAAGGTGACTGAGCCAGCCCCAGTTTGCAGTAGCTGATCTCAGGGTGGCAGTCTTAAGAAGTGAGCTTTACTAAAATCAGCCTGCCCTCCAACCCCACTCTAGCAGGAGATTTGCATCCCAGTATTTCAATTTAAATTAGAGGATGAGGCCAGGCACGGTTGTATATGCCTGTAATCTTAGCACTTTAGGAAGCTGAGGCAGGCGGATCTCTTGAGCCTAGGAATTTGAGAGAAGACTGTGCAAGCTGGTGTAACCCCATCTCTACAAAATAAAAATACAAAAATATGCGGGGCATGGTGGTGTTTCCCTTTAGTCCCAGCTACTCTGGAGGCTGAGGTGGGAGGATCACTTGAGCCTGGGAGGTCGAGGCTTCAGTGAGCCCAGATTGTGCTACTGCACTCCATCCTGGAGTGACAGAGGGAACCCTGTCTCAGTAATAAATTAGAGGGCCAGGTGGGCAGCTCATACCTGTAATTTCAGCATTTTGGGAGGCCAAGGCTGGAGCTTGAGATCAGCCTGGCCAACATGGTAAAACCCCGTTTCTAGTAAAAATACAAAAATTCCAGTGCCTGTAATTCCAGCTACTCCAGAGGCTGAGGCAGGAGAATTGCTTGAACCCTGGAGGCAGAGGTTGCAGTGAGCCGAGATTGCGCCACTGCACTTTAGCCTGAGTAATAGAGAGAGACTCTGTCTCAAAAAAAAAAAAAAAAAATAGAGGATGGGGCCTGAGGAGCAGACAAGACTCTCTGTCTGGTCAGGCAGCTTTTTCTTTCTTTCTGCTTTTCATTTTGGCAGTAACAGAACAGATTCTGCAGCTGATCAAGGATGACACTGGTGAGAACCCCATGAGGGAGTGGAGTAGCCTGGACTCTTACCACAAGAGGGAGGTGTTATGAAAGCAGTGTAGAGGTCCAGCGAGCAGCAGTGGGGGCAGGCAACCGACTGCTGCCTGATGTGCAAAGAAGTCCTTTCAAATTTCCAGGACTGGACTCTTCCTGAGCAAGCCAGGTGAGTAGGGGTGTGTGTGTGTGTGTGTGTGTGTGTGTGTGTGTGTGTGTGTGTGTGT